TTGTTTTACTATCTGTTTGGCATTCTCTGTAACCCCCCCCCCCTCCCGCTCACCCTCCTCCCCCTTCCCCTGAAGTCCTGCCATTCTTAGTTTAGTGTCCATCAGGAAGAGCGAGAAGGGAGGAGTAACGTGATGATCGAGGGATGGGTTGGGAGCTGGCTGAAAGAGGGAGGGATGGCGCTCTAGTGACAAAGCAAGAAGGGGAAGTGAAAAATTCCCTCCCTCCCTCCTCTCCTTCCAGGAGACCGCTCTGGATCCACCTATGAGTAAATGCGATAGATAGGTGTGTGATTCCATTTTAGCAACATTGGGAGTTGCAAAACAGTACTGTGAACAACCAACCATGGTTCTTTAGTAGTTTAATTTTTTGCTTTTTTTTTTCGCAAATTTTCCCTGGAACTTCTTATGACATTGAGTTTTTGCAATTTCAGTGAACTAGCTGCTGCGTTTGACGCTGTAAAACCGGCGTCAGCTGCGCGCAATATCCAATAGTGGTACTTCGGAAGAATTCGTACAAAACAATTCGAGATGTACTCTGAACTTCGCATATCCGCTGGAAACCGTTTACGGTTACTGGAGCAGCAACAATGCTCCCATTCAACAATTGCCGGTCGACTACGCTTCGATAGATGGCCGAGCCGAAGCTACCGATTATCATCTTCTCGATATATCCACGCACAACGTCACGACAGAGGTGCCAGATCAACATCAGCAGCCAAAGTATGTGAATGATTTTTTTTCTTAAATCAGAAAAAACGATTTTGATGTATTTCAGGCTTTGTCATAAACAGATCTCAGGCTTTATCATAATAGATTTCAGGCCGTACCATAATAGATTTCGGGCCTTTTGGGCGTGATTTCAGGCCTTACCAGGGCAACACACGTTGGATTTTACGAAAATCTAGCATATCTGCGATTGGCACGAGAGATAGTCCAGGCAGTTTTTTGATTATGCAGGAAATAAAGGAAAAATGATAGATTCAAAGGGAAGCATGAAAACGAGAATCAAGCAAGAATAATTGACAAAGTGGGGATCAAGCAAGTATATGTACGATGCAAATAGAGCATGCACATACATTGCGCTTAAGAACGATAATGATGATGATAATAATAATGATAATAATAACAGTAATAATAGTGATAACAATATTAAGATTAATGGTAGTATTAAACAATCACAATGATGACAATCATAATAATAATAATTACAGTAATAGGAGCAACAATAGCATTAGTAGTAATAATTGCAGTAATATTATTGATAATAACCATAATGGTAATAATATTATGAAAAAAAATAGTGAAATAAATATTATGAAATAAATAACAAATCTTTGAACGTAAAATACGTGTAAAAATTTTGCATACAAAAATTTTTAAGTGGTTGGGACAAGTTGGAAAATTTGAACGAAATTTGGCTAACTTTAAGAATTTTTAGCCCCAGCGAGAGAGCTTTAATCATGTCGGCGGCTATGGAACATTCGTATCCCAAACTGAGCCTGGCTATGGATCGCGAATCCCGTTGCAGCAGCACCGATGGATCTTCAAGCGTCGCGCACGAAGAATACTTTCCGGAAAAATGTAACCCTCACTATGCCTCGGACTCTGCTACTTATTTTCAACCGTTGACGGGGCAAAATAATAGTTTTTATAACCACAGCCCGGCATCGGGATCCCATATAGGCACAAAATTTCAACAGCACTCGCAGCAGCAACAGCCCCAAAACATGCCTGAAACCACCGGATCCAGACCGGCAACGGAACTCAGTTCAATGGACCTAGAAGATCTTCCGTCATTGTTTTCGCCTCTTTCCGCTTTCCTGAATGACGTCGATTTTGAAGAGAACATGGTGGACATCCAAGAACTGGAAGAATATCTCGTAGCTCCCAGTGATGCAACAACAATGAATACGTTTGAGTTATTGATGAATGAACAAACTGAGGATCAGGGCAGTGCACGGGTTCCAGACACTGATAGTGTGGTGAGATTTTTCGGAATTCCGGATCTGTGACGAGAGTGAATATGAAGAGTTTTTACGTAATTTTGACTTTCTTTTGTCAGATTCAGACAAAAAGCATAGCAAGTAAGGTAACTTCCGCTATTTTTCATTTTTGCCCACTTCTTCCCTCATTATCCTTCACTTTTTCACGTTATTTAGTTATAGACACTTTCGCCTATTGTATTTTTTGTTACATTGATTTTACGTTTTTTTTTTTTTCATTT